TTTAAACTTCTTATGCGACTTGATTAAAACTTCTCCCTATCCTAATCTAATGTTTTTTTTTCTGCTAACTAGTTTTTCGTCTACAGTAAACAACAATCCAGAGAATTATATCCCGTTTGGCAGGTATAATATACAATTAAAAATACCATGGGCTCTATTACCAGTCCTGGGGAACCATGTTTGTTATTCTCTCCGGCCCACGGGTTTCACATCTTGAGTTAACCCTCGGAATTCATTTTACATTCGTATTCTACCCATTACTTTTTTGCGTAATTCTTCAAAATTTCCATAAAAGTTTGTGATTCCTCATGCAGGTCATTTACATGTACAAGTCACCGATGGTACCTAAAACAGCCTTGGGGGGACATCTCTGTTACACACACCCATACTGGTGCGTAACACCTCAATACGTATAAGTCCTTGCATATTGACTTCCATGCATTCCCTCAAGCATACGACAGTACAATCTCCCGGTAAATATATGCTGGCATTGTTTTCTATCAGTAGTGAGCGCTAGTGCTCTTCCATTAATATATGGTAGCGCTATACGTGTATAACTGTGTGTGTGTGTGTGTGTGTGTGTGAGTGTGTGTGTGTGTGAGTACTCACCTATTTGTACTCACCTATTTGTGGTTGCAGGGGTCGATTCACAGCTCCTGGCCCCGCCTCTTCGCTGATTGCTACTAGGTCCTCTCTCTCCCTGCCCCATGAGCTCTATCATACCTCGCCTTAAAACTATGTATGGTTCCTGCCTCCACCACATCACTTTCTAGGCTATTCCATGGCCTGACTACTCTATGACTGAAGAAATACTTCCTAACATCCCTTTGATTCATCTGAGTCTTCAACTTCCAATTGTGACCTCTTGTGTCTGTGTCCCATCTCTGGAAACTCCCGTCTTTGTCCACCTCGTCTATTCCGCGCAGTATTTTATATGTCGTTATCATGTCTCCCCTGACTCTCCTGGCCTCCAGTGTCGTCAGGCCGATTTCCCTCAACCTTCTTCATAGGACAATCCCCGTAGCTCTGGGACTAGTCTTGTTGCAAACCTTTGCACTTTCTCTAATTTCTTGACGTGCTTGACTAGGTGTGGATTCCAAACTGGTGCTGCATACTCCAGTATGGGCCTGACGTAGATGGTGTACAGAGTCTTAAACGAATCCTTACTGGGTATCGGAACGCTATCCGTAGGTTTGCCAGGCGCCCGTATGCTGCAGCAGTTTATCTGATTGATGTGCGCCTCAGGAGATATGCTCGGTGTTATACTCACCCCCAGATATTTTTCCTTGAGTGAGGTTTGCAGTCTTTGGCCATCTAAACTATATTGTGTCTGCGGTCTTCTTTGCCCTTCCCCAATCTTCATGACTTTGCATTTGGCAGGGTTAAATTCAAGGAGCCAGTTGCTGGACCGGCTTGTAGCCTGTCCAGATCTCTTTGTAGTCCTGCCTGATCCTCGTCCGATTCGATTCTTCTCATTAACTTCACATCATCTGCAAACAAGGACACTTCTGAGTCTATCCCTTCCGTTATGTCGTTCACGTATACCAAGAACAGCACAGGTCCTAGGACTGACCCCTGTGGAACCCCGCTTGTCACAGGCGCCCACTCTGACACCTCGTCGCGTACCATGACTCGTTGTTGCCTCCCTGCCAGATATTCTCTGATCCATTGCAGTGCCTTTCCTGTTATGTGTGCCTGGTCCTCTAGCTTTTGCAGTAACCTCTTGTGAGGAACTGTGTCGAAAGCCTTCTTGCAGTCCAAAAATACGCAGTCGATCCACCCCTCTCTCTCTTGTCTTACTTCTGTCACCTTGTCATAAAACTCTAGTAGGTTTGTGACATAGGATTTTCCTTCCCTGAAACCGTGCTGGTTGTCAATTATACACTTGTTTCTTTCCAGGTGCCCCACCACTCTCCTCCTGATGATCTTCTCCATGACCTTGCATACTATACACGTTAGTGATACAGGTCTGTAGTTTAGTGCCTCATGTCTGTCTCCCTTTTTAAAAATTGGGACTACATTTGCCATTTTCCATACCTCAGGGAGTTGCCCAGTTTCAAATGATGTGTTGAAGATCTTTGTTAATGGCTCACACAATATCTCTGCTCCCTCTTTAAGGACCCATGGAGAGATGTTGTCTGGTCCCACCGCCTTTGAGGTGTCAAGTTCGCATAGCAGCTTCTTCACCTCCTCCTTGGTTATATGTGTGTGTGTGTGTGTGTGTACTCACCTATTTGTACTCACCTATTTGTGGTTGCAGGGGTCGAGTCCTAGCTCCTGGCCCCGCCTCTTCACCGGTTGCTACTAGACCCTCTCTCTCCCCGCTCCATGAGCTTTATCAAACCTCGTCTTAAAACTGTGTATGGTTCCTGCCTCCACTACGTCATTTTCTAGGCTATTCCACTGCCTTACAACTCTATGACTGAAGAAATACTTCCTACTATCTCTCTGACTCATTTGTGTCTTCAACTTCCAATTGTGGCCTCTTGTTTCTGTGTCCCCTCCCTGGAACATCCTGTCCTTGTCCACCTTGTCTATTCCACGCAGTATTTTATATGTCGTTATCATGTCCCCCCTGACCCTCCTGTCCTCCAGTGTCGTCAGGCCGATTTCCCTTAATCTTTCTTCATAGGACATTCCCCTTAGCTCTGGAACTAACCTTGTTGCAAACCTTTGTACTTTCTCTAGTTTCTTGACGTGCTTTATCAAGTGCGGGTTCCAAACAGGTGCTGCATACTCCAGTATGGGCCTGACATACACGTGTACAGTGTCTTGAATGATTCCTTACTAAGGTGTCGGAATGCTGTTCTCAGGTTTGCCAGGCGCCCATATGCTGCAGCAGTTATCTGATTGATGTGTGCTTCCGGAGACATGCTCGATGTTATACTCACCCCAAGATCTTTCTCCTTGAGTGAGGTTTGCAGTCTTTGGCCACCTAGCCTATACTCTGTCTGTGGTCTTCTGTGCCCTTCCCCAAATCTTCATGACTTTGCATTTGGCAGGATTAAATTCGAGAAGCCATTTGCTGGACCAGGTGTCCAGTCTGTCCAGGTCTCTTTGAAGTCCTGCCTGGTCCTCATCAGATTTAATTCTCCTCATTAACTTCACATCATCTGCAAACAGGGACACTTCTGAGTCTAACCCTTCCGTCATGTCGTTCACATATACCAAAAATAGCACTGGTCCTAGGACCGACCCCTGTGGACCCGCTCGTCACAGGTGCCCACTGTGATACATCATTACGTACCATGACTCGTTGTTGCCTCCCTGTCAGGTATTCTCTGATCCATTGCAGTGCCCTTCCTGTTATATGCGCCTGATGCTCTAGCTTCTGCACTAATCTCTTGTGAGGAACTGTGTCAAAGGCCTTCTTGCAGTCCAAGAAGATGCAATCAACCCACCCCTCTCTCTCTTGTCTTACTTCTGTTATTTTATCATAAAACTCCAGAAGGTTTGTGACACAGGATTTGCCTTCCGTGAATCCGTGCTGGTTGGCATTTATACTCCTGTTCCGTTCCAGGTGCTCCACCACTCTCCTCCTGTGTGTGTGTGTGTGTGTGTGTGTGTGTGTGTGTGTGTGTGTGTGTGTGTACTCACCTAATTGTACTTACTTAATTGTGTGTGTACTCACCTAGTTGAGGATACCGGGGACGAGTCACAGCTCCTGGTCCCGCCTCTTCACTGGTCGCTACTAGGTCACTCTTCCTGCTCCATGAGCTTTATCATACCTCTCTTCTTAAAGCTATATATGGATCCTGCCTCCACTACATCACTTCCCAGACTACTCCACTTCCTGACAACTCTGTGAACTGAAGAAATACTTCCTAATATCCCTGTGATTCATCTGTGTCTTCAACTTCCAATTGCGACCCCCTTGTTGCTGTGTCTCATCTCTGGAACATCCTGTCTCTGCCCACCTTGTCAATTTCTCACTGTATTTTATATGTCGTTATCATATCCCCCCTATCTCTCATGTCCTCCAGTGTCGTCAGGTCGATTTCCCTTAACCTCTCCTCGTAGGACATGCCCCTTAGCTCCGGAATTAGTCTTGTTGCAAATTTTTGCACTTTCTCTAATTTCCTTACATGCTTGGCTAGGTGTGGGTTCCAAACTGGTGCTGCATACTCCAATATAGGCCTGACCAACACTTGACGTGTGTGTTTGTGTGTGCTCACCTATTTGTGGTTGCAGGACTATCCCCACTACCCCCTCACCCCTAGTGGGTCTTTAGCTGCGAGTTGTTCTTGTCCTTCTTCTCAGTGTGGTTGCATTTACTAACGTGGCGCAACATTTGCAGACAACACCGGGATCCGGTGGTCAGCAACCCGACGCATCAGGAATGGGTCCCAGACGAGTAATAATCAAAGATTTATAGTCCATATGCTTACCCTTTCCTGCCGTCATATCCTAGAGCCCTAGACAACAAACACAGATTTAGAGGATCCCGGAAACTATACTCCTACGTGAGCCTTGACCTTATTTAGCGGTAGTGACACTACAGAGGATTGAATATCGGGCGAAGAACAGCAACTGAGCGCGGGTGGCAGGCAGCCTGGTAGGATGGTGCAAGGCCAGCCAACCAACTCACGTTAGTGTTTATAAGCGCAAAGTGGTGAGTACATCTTTGCCGGCGTGTCCCTACTAGGTGGACTCGCTGGTCCCTCGCTCAGTGCTCGTAACTTTCCTGGTGGTGTTTACTGGCTGATCTCAACCTGTCAGAGGTGCAGTAATAGACCGTGTATCCTTCTTTTGCAAGATATAAACTCTCTGGTCCCCTCAAGGAAGGCTCCTTGACGCTGGTGAGGGGCTCTTGATCTAGGGAATTGGATCTGTGCTCCAGTTCCCTGAATTAAGCCTGAATGCCTTCCATCCCCCCATAGGCGCTGTATAATCCTACGGGTTTAGTGCTTCCCCCTTGATTATAATAATAATAATGGATCCTGATTTATTGCTGGTTTCCCAAGTGCTTTGAATTTGCCAAGTTCCTGCAATATGATGACGGATGAATTTTCGATAGTTATTAGTGATTTGTCCGCGTAACTTTATTTCTAATTTTGCTGTTGGTGGCACGAGTTAAAATGCTGATTAGATGCAAGATGCAACAATGAAAATTATTTATTAAATAAATAGTTAAGCTGATATATAAATAAATATTTACTGATTCAGCAACCTTTCCTTAGCATGTGTACGAGGAATGTCAGTGCCAACAGACTGCGTAATAAACACCATGTATAATACAACAGCTCTATTGAAGAGAGGTTTTGCCCATTAGGGGCTTTGACAAAACCTTTGTGAGCAAAAACTTTCTTCAGTGAAACTGTTATAAGTGTTGCATATGTACGTTTACTTTTCACTGGATCACTGGAGTGTAAAAAAAGCAGGAAGAAAGGCAGCAGTGCAGGCGTTTAACTACACAGGTATCATCAGCAAAACAAGAGCTTTCACACACACACACACACACACCACACACACACACCACACACACACACACACACACCACCCCCCAACCCACACCACACCCCACACACACACCACACAAAAAGGGGGGCTCCAGAAAGACGGAGAGGGGGGGCACCCCCCAAAATGGGGACACGTGCAAAAACCCGAGAAAAAGTAAGGGCTTCGAGTGAGCTAGATCCTAAAAGGGCAATGGGGCCAATAACATCCCCTCAGGGGATTGAGAGAGGGAGCAAAGGCGCTATGTGACCCCTAACAAAAAAATATTAAATAATCTTTCGAAACGGAGTTTCCCCGAGGCAGGGAAAACCGCAAATGTTCCCAATTTTTAAAAAAAGGAGACAGACATGAAGCTTTTAAACTACAACCGTGTCACTGACATGTATATTTCAAAATCAGGAGAAGATTATCGGGAAAAGAGTGGGGACCCTAGAAAAAATGATCTCACACGGGGCCCCACAGGTTTCGGGGACGGGAAATCCTGTGCCCCAAAAACTATGGGGTTCTATAAAGGTGACAGCATAAGACAAGAGAGAGAGGGTGGGTGATTGAAATTTTTTTGGACGCAAGAAGGGGTTTTACACAGTTCCACACAAAGGGTTGGGAAAAACTGGAGGCCAAGCAGGATAAAAAAGGGGGAAAGGGACTAAATGGACAGGAATACTTGTCGGGAAAACCAGCGGTCTGGACTGGCGAGGGGTCAGAGTGGGGACCTGTGACCCGGGGTCCCACAGGGGCGTCCTAGGACCAGTGCTGTTTCGGTATTTTGGGAACGCATGACGGGGGGAACAGATTTAGGTGTCCCTGTTTCAGATGACGTGAAGTTATAGAAGAATTCACTCGATCGAAGACCAGGCAAACTACAAGGGATCTGGCGGGCTAACGGGGCCCCAGGCTCCTGGGTTCAATCCCCCCAAGTGCAAAATCTGAAATGGGGGAAGGGAAAAAGACCGCAGAGGGAGTACATCTAGGGACCAAGACTAAAAGCCTCACCAAGGAAAAAATCTTGGGGGGGAAATTAACACCAGGCACCCTCCTAAAGCCAATAAAACAAAAAACGCTGCAGCTTTGGGGCCCCTAGCAACCTCAGAACAGCATTCCTACATCTAAAAAAGGGAATCTTTGAGGACCAAACACGGGACGTTAGGCCCATATTGGATATGCGGCACCAGTTTGGAACCCACACCTCCCAAGCACTGAAAAAACTAGGAAAGTGCAAAGGTTTGAAACAAAACTAGTCCCAGAGCAAAGGATGCCCTCCGGGGAAAGGGGTTAAGGGAAATAACCTGACGACACGGAGGACAGGAGATAGGGGGGAATGATAACGACATAAAAAAATACTGAGAGGAATTTGAAAAGGGGGACAAAGACAGGAGTTCAGAGAGGGGACCAGTAAAAGGGAAAAACGGGGAAGTAAAGGGAACAGATGAATCACAGGGATTTAGGAATATTTCTTCAGCCACAAGTAGCCTAAGTGGAAATTTTGGGAAGTGATGTAGTGGAGGCGGGATCCATACATATTTTAAGCAGAGGATGATAAAGTCACGGCTCGGGGAGGGGTGCCCTAGAGCGATAAATTGAAGAGGGGGGGGCCAGGACCCGGGCCCGACCCCCGCAACCTCAACTAGGGGGTTTAAAACCTGGGTGAGACAACACAAAATCACCACAAACCCCACCAACAGGCCAAGTGTCTTCAACAAGTGCCTTGACAAATAGGTGGGAAAATACTGTATATATTTCGGAAATACGGTAAAAATTTTAGGTAAATAGATCCCATATTGTATTTAATAAAAATGTATTTTTTAAAAAATGGACATCGCCCTTTGGGGTTTTTAATTGGGTACAACGTTAGTGTAAGGGGAAAGGAATTTTTTTGTCTCTAGAGGTTAAAATTGGGCTGACACCTCTCAAATAGGAGGCGAAATTGTTGGATGTGCATTCCTACATAACTTGAGATATCAGGCGACAGGACAGGACAACTCCAGGAACCTCAGATAAGCTGTCTAATTTATGTTTAATTTCTGGCCAGTAAAATTTTCATAAATGTAGGCAAAAGGGGAGGCCCTGTACATGACACATTAATCTCCAGTCAAATTGGTGAGTAAGACACCAGAATTGTTAACTGCCTATAATGAAATAATTGCTGAGCAGTTAATTAATAAATTTATAGAAGAGGTACCTCCTGAGCAAGCCAAAATTTATGGTCACTATTTGCTACATCACGGAGTGAAGAAGGAGTCTAAGACCACTCCTCTGAGAATTGTGTTTAATTGTAGTGCCAGGAGTAACAAAAATGTACCTAGTTTAAATGACTGTTTGATGACAGGTCCGTCGTTGACGGAAAAATTAGGAGATATCTTATTAAATTTCAGAGTGAAGCATTATGCCTTTATGGCTGACATAAGTAAAGCTTTTCTAAGAGTGGGTTTACAAAAGGCTGACCGGGATTGTACCCGCTTCTTATGGCCTGAGAATCCTATTGACCCACTTAGCCCTCTGAAAACCTTTCGCTTTAGGAGCGTATTATTTGGTGCTACATCCAGTCCGTTCCTACTTCAAGCGACGATAAATGCACACCTTAAACGTATGGGAAGTCCATTGAGTAAAGTAATGAGCAAATAATTTTATGTGGACAATTTCCTGGGTGTGACGTCAACTGAAGAGGAACTGTTAATGACTTATGGAGAGGCTAATAAAATAATGCAGATTGCAAATATGCCTCTGAGGGAATGGAATAGTAATTCGTCCAAATTAAAGGACAAAATAAGTAAAGATTTCCCTGGAGATGAAGTGCCAAAATGTAGTAATGTATTGGGTTTAACTTGGGATACTGAGAGAGATTTGTTAATGTTAAAACCTAATAATTAGAGTATGCCCAACAAATTAAATGAGATAGTTTTGCTTGCTGAAATTTCCAAATGTTTTGATCCACTAGGTTTAGTGTCACCCCTTACTATAAGAGGGAAATTATTAATTCAGGAAGCATGGAAACTTAAATGTGCTTGGGATGAAATTGTACCTGAGGAATTCATTAACAGGTTGGATGAATTAATTGGTGATTATGAGAAAATTCCAATGTTGGAGTTCCCACGCCAGGTGGCCAATCCAAATGGAAAAAATGTACTCCACATTTTTTGTGATGCTTCAAAATTGGCATATGGAGCAGTTGCTTATCTTCAATGTAATAGTGTTATTTCTCTTGTTATGTCTAAGGCTAAAGTATCTCCAATTAAATCATGTACCTTGCCTCAGTTGGAATTAACAGCCATTTATGTAGGTGTCAAATTAGCTAATTATATAAGAAATAAGTTGCAGGAGATAAATATTAGCTACACTGTAATTTGGTCTGATAATGAGGTATCCTTACAATGGATTCATAATGGAAACAGTAAAATTGTGTACGTACAAAACAGAGTCACTGAAATTAATCAGATGCAAGAGAAGTATAATAGTTTGGGTCAGCATATGTTAACATTTAAGCATATACCTGGTGAGGAAAATCCAGCTGATTTGTTGTCTCGAGGTTTACCTTATGCTAAATTTGTAAATGCTGTGTCATGGTTTAAAGGACCGAGTTGGTTGGTAAATAAAGCTAATTGGCCTGTTGAAATTACTGTGACCATCGCTCCAATAGTTTGTCCTCCCTTAGCCATTGATATAAATAGGTATTCTTCTTTACCCAAACTATTCAATGTAACTAAGTTGGTGTTTAAATTTCTAAACAAGATGAATATTTCATTAAGTTTATCACATCCTCTTGAATATGGATAAAGAGGTACAGGAGAAATCTATGGAAATGAGATTAAATTGATGATGGAAAGAAAAATTGGTGAAAGGTTCCTAATAGAGAAATTGGGCTGCATTTAGAGAACAATGTAATTAGGTGCAGAGGTAGGTTACAAAATGCTGAATTGGTGATTATGCTAAACACCCTATCTTACTGCCCAAAACTCATCATCTAACAAATTTAGTTGTGCTAAATGCCCATAAAAATGTAATGCATGGTGGAGTACAAGATACCTTAAATTGTATTAGGGAAACTTTCTGGATTCCACAAGGACGGCAAAGTGTAAAAAGGGTGATTAAATCTTGTGTAATATGTCGCCGTGTGGATGCCAGATCCTATATGTACCCAGGTCCTCCACCAATGCCAAAGGAGCGTGTACAATTAGTGAAACCATTTGATGTAACAGGTGTGGACTATAGTGGTCCAATAATTTTAACAGGTACGTCAAATGGTGTTCCACTGAAAGCGTATGTTTGTTCACCTGTACTGCAACTAGGGCAGTTCATTTAGAAGTGGCACAGGACTTGTCTGCAGAACAGTTTGTACAGCTGTTTCGAAAATTTGCAGCTAGGAGATCCTGTCCGAGGTTGATAATTTCGGATAATGCCACAAATTTTGTTGCAGGTGCTCAACACTTGATAGAATTAAATAATAGTAACGATGTTCAATCTCTGTTAACCCAGCAAGGGTGTCCCCGGAAATTTATTACTCCTAGAGCCCCTTGGCAGGGTAGGCTGTATGAAAGACTGATAGGCACAGTGAAGAGGTGTCTCCATAAAGTACTACACCGGAAGAGAATTAATTTGGAAGAATTCCGTGCAGTGTTAGTGGAGGCGGAAAATCATATAAATAATAGGCCTCTCTCGTACATGAGTGATACACCTGATGCAGATGTATTAACACCTTCTCACCTAATATGTGGAAGGAAATTGGAAGCTGCTCCTGTCTATAGAGATAATCCGGAAGAAAGTGATGAAGATTATAATGATGTGGCAGTGTTGTGTAATAAATATAAAATGTTAAATAAAGTAATTGATCATTGGTCTAATGTGTGGCGTAAGGAATATCTTCTTACACTACGTGAACACTTTTATGGTGCGACAGAGGCAGTAAATCGACAGACCATTCAACCAGGTGACATTGTGTTAATTGACACTGAACAACATCGAACATTGTGGCCTCTGGGCAAAGTATTGACATTGTACCCAGATGCACAAGGTGTTGTCAGGAATGTCAAAGTGTTGTGTCATGGCCAGGAAAGTTTATGCACAATTAATAAATTGATTGCCTTGGAATTAAATGGTGTTCAATCAAACGTAAATGAAAATCTGAGGGAAAGTGACACGAGTGATGTGGAAGATAACGCTGACCAAGTGATGCCGGAAGATGAAATCGTAGTAAGACCTACTAGGAGAACAGCCACTCAAGCCAGAACTGGCTGGAATCGTCTCATAAAGGAAGGAGTAATTTGAGTCGTTTAGCAACGAACTCCGGCCGGCCGCAGTGTGGAAAATACTGTATATATTTTCCGGAAATACGGTAATTTATAGGTAAATAGATGCCCTATATTGCATTTAATAAAAGTGTATTTTTAAAAGATGGACAGTCGCCATTTTGGTTTTTAAATTGGATACAACGTTAGTGTAATGGGAAGGAATTTTCGTGCTCTAGAGGTTAAAATTGGGCTGACACCTCTCAAATAGGAGGCGAAATTGTTGGATGTGCATTCCTACATAACTTGAGATATCAGGCGACAGGACAGGACAACTCCAGGAACCTCAGATAAGCTGTCTAATTTATGTTTAATTTCTGGCCAGTAAAATTTTCATAAATGTAGGCAAAAGGGGGGTCCTGTACATGACACATTAATCTCCAGTCAAATTGGTGAGTTATGATTAAGATATTCTCTTTCTGTTATGTATATGTATATATATAATCATTTATTATTTTTAATATACAGTCCACAAATTTATATATTTACCAGCATTCCTGGTGATGTATTTTTCATTTGTAAGTAATAGGTCCAGAGCAACTTGTGGATATGACAGTGGTAGGTATCGAAGGGGGACATTTTTTGCGACCTAGGTGTCCCAAATTCCTACTTGTCTAACTGATAAATAATAATTATCAGTGTTCATTTACTGTTATGTATATAATGATATATTCAGATAAATGCAATTTTCCACAACTAGTAACTACTACTACTACTACTACTACTTCTACTACTACTACTACTACTACAGAACTGAGAGTAACGACCCTTGGGGTGGAGAGTTACTGTGTCCTATATTTACTCTGCATTACGAATATCCATAAATTAAACACGGTCTTTTTTCCCCGAGCTTTATGTGTGTGCAGAATATACAAAGTATTCCACAATTTGCGAGAACTTTAATCATTGCAATAGTTTCTTCCTCTTTTCCCCATTTCTTAGAAATGACCTTGTTCCCCATCTTCCACACTTCGCAGAAGTGACCTTCTTCCCTCTCTTCCACATCGTCTCAGCACCGACCTTGACTCCTCTCTTCCACATCTCTCAGAACCAACTTTTGGTTTAGTTATACCGCCTGAGCTGCTAGTTTACTGTGCACCTGCAACTCATCCTGTGAGCGGTAACTCAAGAAAACAGGATTACAGCGGTCATCAGACACCACTGAACATTGTGAAATCACTAGAAAGGAATATTAATCATTTTTTGTTTTACAGTTGCTTTATATAGTTGTTGTACATAGTACTGTAAGGAACAGAATCTCAAAAATATAAATCTTGTTACCACTAAAAATAATTAAAAAAAAATTTGTCATAGCTGGAGTTTCAATCTCTATGATGACAGTTTGTCCAGAATCGACCTTGAATCCTCTTTCACACGAACGCCTCGTCAGGAGGGGCCATGAAGTACCTGCTGGTGATAGTGGCTCTGCTGGAAGCAGTCGTAACGGCGGCCTTCAGTGACAACGTAGATTTTCAGAGATTATTGCTGCAGCAGCAGCAACAGCAGCAGGACGACAATCAAGGAGATATCTGGGCAGTATTATTGGCTGGCTCTAGCGGCTGGTTTAACTACCGTCACCAGGTCTGTATCACTCTATTATTATTATTATTATTATTATTATTATTATTATTATTATTATTATTATTATTAAACTGTAGGGAAATTTCATATTAGTTCTTCAAGTCTTGTTTTTATTCCGAAAAAGGCTAAGTATACCTGGGTCCACACCAGACTATATATATTGAAACAGTTCTAAGGTTACTCACTCCCAGGCTCTCTGCTACACCCCTGTCTCTTCCCTCCTATCTCTCCCCTGCCCTCCCTCATTTTCTCACCTTCCCTTCCCGTCCCTCACCTCCAGTTCCTTCTCTCACGTCCCCTCCCTCCCGTCCCTTCCTTCCCGTCTTCCTACTGCCCTTCCACTGATTTTCTTATGCCACCTGTGTGGCTCGTTGGGGGAAGCTGTATTTCACAGAAGCGTAAAACCCGTAAGGATCATTCAGCGCAAGGACTGGAGGAGGCTCGATCCTCCGTCTTTGTGTGTATGTAAACACTAAGACCAAGTCTTCCACTGCAGGCGGACGTGTGTCATGCCTACCAGATCCTGCACCAGCACGGTGTTCCTGACGACCATATCATCGTTATGATGTATGACGACATCGCCCACGACGTTCAGTGAGTGCCATTCAATAGGGCATGAGTGCCAGTAGTTGCTTTATTAGCATCAGTAATTAGAGTGTTATTGTCAGCCTTCTTTCCGGTTATCTCTGTTCTTCCTCTCTCATTTGCGACAAGAAAATAGCTGAGGACGCACCTGTACCTCGTCTTAAGGTCTCTCTCTCTCTGTGCGTTATTCGTACATGGTAATAATGTTCGTTAGGTGAAAGGACACAAGTGCATCTAATGTGACATTTTATTGTGGCAACGTTTCGCTCTCCAGGAACTTTGTCAATAAAATATCACATTAGTTGCACTTGTCTCACTTTACCCAACATATTTGTGTATTGTACCAGCTAGGGAATTGTGACTTATTCATCCTAGAGTCATCATTTATCGTGTTAGTATCAGTACTTATTACTACCAGGTGTTGAACTATTAGTGCCAGGTCAGTGACCAGATAATCTGAGACCATCTGTGGTAGTTTTATCAAAGATTACTTAAAAATATATTTTTTTTCACCGTTGACGAAGTTTTTCTAAGCTACTCGAAGACGATTTATTTTTCCAAATAGATTGGAAACTTTATTACTAACCAAATTTTCGATACTCGTACCATAACAAAGATGTGGGTTTTCTTATTTTTTAAATGACTTCGAAGCGCAATCAAGCAAACAGATGTCAGCTAGTGAAAGGAAAAATAAATTTGCTTGTATAATCTACTTAAAACAAACTGTCGAAGCTGTTAAGCTTTCTTGATGTTCAGGAACCCGACCCCTGGTGTGATCATCAACCGTCCAGGAGGACCTAACGTCTACGAGGGCGTTCTCAAGGACTACACTGGCAGGGACGTCACTCCAGAGAACTTCCTGAAGGTACTTAGCGGCGACGCTGAGAGCCTGAGGGGTGTGGGCTCTGGCAAGGTGCTGAAGAGTGGTCCCAACGATCGTGTCTTCATCAACATGGTGGACCACGGTGCCCCTGGCATCTTCGCCTTTCCTAACGACTACCTCAACGCCACCGATCTCGTTGACGCTATTCTGGCTATGCATCGAGCCAGCAGATACAGCCAGGTAAGTCTGCTATCCACCTCTCCGAGCAAGTGCAGCGTGAACAAATGTTCTTTCATTGGTTACTTGATACAGTAGAGTAGATGTTGAGGCGTTAGGTTGCCAACAGGCGGGCGCTGGCACAAGCCACATGAGACCTTATTTATATAAGATATTGTATTCACGATGGTGTAAAAGTTCTGTTGAGCCTTGATATTTTGGTTGTTTACGTCCACAGATGGTGATGTATGTGGAGTCGTGCGAGTCTGGCTCCCTCTTCAAGAGTCTCCTTCCTGATGATATAAAAGGTGAGTTCTGCTCTCTCTCTCTCTCACACACCTAGGAACTAAAGTGTCAATATTTAAGAGCTGCTATCCTGTCTCAGCTCAGTTCAAAACCTAGATCTATTAAACTTTATTACAGACTTAATCAACAGGCCTGAAAGTATGTATTTTTCATTAAATGCCAAGGTGAAGCTGTTGCCAACAGACCGTAGCAAGAACACGTTTTGAAATTGAGTCAGCTGAGGAATGAATATCCATTCCGCTTTGCTTTGCCACCTATGATAATCTATACTTTGGAGATAAAACTTTAGACGACATTTCGGACATCCTGCAGTTTTTTCTCTCTCTAAATTCTGACCTGCATCCTGTGGCTTACTAACAGTGTACGCGCTGAGTGCGTCTGCCCCTAACCAACACTCATACGCCTGCTATGAGGACGACACTCTTCATACCTTCTTGGGCGACGTCTTCAGCGTCAAGTGGATGGAGGATACCGACGTGGTAAGAAATGCATTTTCTTACCTGCTAGTGAGTTCTCTGAGACGCTGCCTATCAAGCCTAGGTCAGGGGAGAAGACGTTCCATGAAGGGTGGCGAAGCATCATGATGCAAACCATACCACGGGCGGGGATAGAACCCACGGGTTCTATCCCCGCCCGTGGTATGGTTTGTTTGCAATCGTGTCATTACGATTTCGTGTGAATTGTTTGTTGAAATAAATATACAGTGGTTCAACATGTGTTTGGAGTATTATAATAAATATTTACCTCTATTTTGAAAATATTTTAATTTTAAGCTCGTTTTCTAGTGATACGCATCTGTTTACGGTCACTTCCCACCTCACTCTCACATCATTGACCCACAAGGTTAAGAAATGTGGAGGGAGTTTCGGGGGTCAATTGTTTATTATTAACAAAATTAGGTGGTACAGCTCTCTGCTGATACTAGTAAATTGTAGTTAGTGCCTTGCTAAAAATGGCAATATATTAGCAAGATATTAGCAGTTTGGAGGGATATGTTGTGTATCTTTATACGTATATGCTTCTAAACTGTTGTGTTCTGAGCACCTCTGCAAAAACAGTGATTATGTGTGAGTGAGGTGCAAGTGTTGAATGATGAAAGTATTTTCTTTTCGGGGATTTTCTTTCTTTTTTGGGTCACCCTGCCTCGGTGGGAGACGGCCGACTTGTTGAAAATATATATAAATGTATATATGCAAAACAACCACTCTGAAAGAATAGAGAAATTCCAAGTGCTTTCGTGACTACTCACATTATCAAGGAACTATCTTGATAATGTGAGTAGTCACGAAAGCACTTGGAATTTCTGTATTCTTTCAGAGTGGTTGTTTTGCATATTCTGAAATCACCTGTTTACTGTGATCTTATTGCATATATATATATATATATATATATATATATATATATATATATATAATATATATTATATAAAATATATATATATATATATATATATAATATATATAATATATATATATATATATATATATATATATATAATATATATATATTTTATATATATATATATATATATATATATATTATATTATATATATATATATATATATATATATGTATATATATATATATATATATATATATATATATATATATATATATATATATATATATATATATATATATATATATATATATACTGCTCGTGAGGCTAGTGCGCCAAACGGGGAGTAGAATGAAAATAACTCAGAAGCACCCACACCACCGTATGTTCTCAGATTAAGGTAAAACACCTAGCTCTGCTGGGTGCTTGATTCTTGTAGGATTGCATGGTACCGTGGGTTAGAGCGTCATGTGTGATTTTCGCTCATCTTGCCATGTTTAGCAGAGCACTATCTACTGTTTATTGGTATCTAATGAGATACTAATTTTGTTGATAAACAATTGACCCCCGAAAGTCCCTCCATTATACTTAACCTTTTGGGTCGATGATGTGAGAGTGAGGTGGGAAGTGATTGCAACAGAAGCTTAAATACCACTAGAAAAAGAGCTTAAAATTAAAATGTTTTCAGAATGAGAGACCCTGCGGCCGGTGACAGACCCGCACTGCGCTACTCTGAGAAAACTTCTGCTTCAGCTGCTACCTTGCAACATTACATAGCTCCTAATGACGCACTGAGAAGTGTGAAAATACTTGGGCTAAAGATTCCCCCCCCTCCCCGTGGCTTGTCTTGCATAGTTAAGATAAAATAATTTAATTATCGTCTTTACTAACACGGACCTTCAATTTCAGGAGAACCTCAAAAAGGAGACTTTGAAACAGCAGTACAAACTTGTGCGCCACGAGGTGGTGACTTCTACCGTCATGCACTGGGGAGAACTACGACTGGCATCCCAGAAACTCTCCAGGTTCCTCGGTAATAAGGACTCCCATCCCAACACCAGCCAACTCAGTGTCGCTACCGACATCGAAAATCTCGTAAACTACCCAACAATATCGAAATGGAACGATCCTTGTTTGGTAAGTTACTCGGATAATCGAAGACTAAACAGGAGGAATAGTAGAAGGAAGGAGTTTAATTTGAAGTTAAGTCTCCTGTGTGAGTATTAGATTCATGGTAATACGTCAATATAATCATACCCCTCGCCAGTTTACCCCTTTTTCTCAATACTGAGTTTTTAAAACCCAGCGCACGTAATATAATCTTTATAAGTGTCTCTCTAATATCATGTACCATGTCCAGTGATCGTTATAAGAGGTATTTGAGTTCTTCAATATTCAAGGATCATGAGATGAACCAAAATATTTCAAATGAAAATAAGAAATTTTCTGGATAATAAAGTTCCAGGAAAGCAATGAGGCATTTAATCATTTATATACCTTTAAAACTTAAAATATGCCTTTCACTGAACTGATATTCCAGTATCAGCAAAGTTCACAGCCACATATATACTATTGTTTTCTTCTCTTGCCCTCATTGCCAGAATACCTCCGTCGCTAGTGACGACGTTCCAGTGGCCATCCTCAAGTCTCGCGTGCGCTCAGCTGCCAGCGCTCTTGAAAAGCAACACTGGAAGGAAGCTCTCAAATCCCTACTGCTGGTAAGAGCTCTAAGGAGAGCAAATGAACTTCCATTGAGGAAATTAGTTGTAGAGTCATCGGGAAGTGAACTTTAGTTTTCCTGAACATTTGTAGATATGCATTTGTGGGTAGCTTTGAGAGTGAGAGACTGAGAGAGAGAGAGAGAGAGAGAGAGAGAGAGAGAGAGAGAGAGAGAGAGAGACAGACAGACAGACAGACAGACAGACAGAGAGAATTACTGATTCACCATCTCTTCGTTTCTTCAGAACCGGGTTCACGTAAGGTCCGTGATGCAGAGCCTGGTGTCGGAGATGACTGGAAATCAGGTGGTGACAACGATGATCACAGCTAAGGATCACAGCCACGACATCTCCCGCTGGGATTGCTACCAAGACTCCGTCAGGACCTTCCATACACACTGCTTTGATCTGTCCCAGGTCAGTCATCCCTTACACCCGCCCCTTACACCCGCCCCTTCACTATCGCCAGTTCTATATTCTTCCACCACATACACGAAATTAATAGACTTAGTAATCCATTTAGGTAGGCATTTATGTCTCTACACGCAGATAGACTAATGATTCTGTCATCCCTGTGGTATTGAAGTTATTATCTTCTGTTGTACCCGTGAATTAACTTATTTTAAGAACATAGTGTCAATAAAAGCAGAACAAAAATACGTTGTTGTAAATAGTTAAATGTTCGATGACAGTAAAAGGCTTCAGGAACGAGCAAGAAGCACCCCGATTGATATTTACATTTTCAGTGATGAGGCTCGTACGCCCACCAGCCCTTACACTGAATGTGCCGCACGGGTTTAGCGCTTCATATGCAATAAATCAATAAATTACTGTAATAAGCATTTATTTATCTCTAAGGGGGGCAAGCGAAATTTTTTTGCCGAAGGCTACGAAATAGTCACGTTTTTTTTTTGAGGGGGGGGGGGGGGGGGGGGCATAGAATATTCACAGCGTTTAAGATTAAATTCTAAACCCCGTTGTGTTACGTGAAAGACGTAGTGGGAAAGCTGACGTTCCACTTCTTGACCCTGCTACCGCCATTTCTTCTTATTAATCGCTGCGCCGACCCAAAATAAAAAAAATAGCCTAAATAAATCCAACTAAACCCTTTTACTCTCCTTATTTCACTTTTCTTATATTTTTATCTAGTGTTCAAATTTAAGGTGAATTATTCACCATTTTATAACGAACTCTCTCTCCCGCTGCTTTTTAAAATAAATATCCTCCTGAAATTTTGTACTAAATTTTTTGAAATTTTTTTTGGGTTAAAAATTGTTTTGTGTTTTTATTTCACTTACTTTTGTCAGTTTTTTACACACACCAACCACAACCACACACACACCCCCCAACACACACCACACACACACCACACAAAAACACCCCCAACACACACACACACACACCACACACACCCCAAAGGATTGACAAAGAGCAGCAATTCCCCTTTGTATAAAAAAAAGGGGGACAAAAGAGGGCAAAAATTATGGGGGATAAGTCTGTTGAGTATCCCTGGAAAATGTAGGGAAAGAGTTATTTTTGAAAAAATTTTAAAGAGAAGCGGAGAATGGGATAGCAGATGAACAAGGTTTTTAGAAAGGGTAGAGTGTGTGGGGGCCCAGGGTTTACAGTGAAAATATAAGTGAACAAAAATTTGATAAGGCAAAGAGGCTTTGGGGCATTTATGTTTGAAAGGGGGAAGACATGGATAGGGGGCTGTGGCGTTTGCAGGGGTTTTTGGTGTAGGGGTAGGTTCGAAAGCATGAAGATTTTTACGGGGATGGAGGTCAAGTTAGAGTACATAGGAAAGAGGAAATTATTTCCCAGTAAAAGTAGGCCTTAGACAGGGATGTGTGATGTCACCGTGGTTGTTTAATATATTTATAGATGGGGTTGTAAAGAAAGTAAATGCGAGGGTCTTGACAAGAGGCGTGAGTTAAAAGATAAGGAATCACACATAAAGTGGGAGTTGTCACAGTTGCTCTTTGCTAATGACACTGTGCCCTTGGGAGATTCTGAAGAGAAGTTGCAGAGATTGGTGGATGAATTTGGTAGGGTGTGCAAAAGAAGAAAATTAAAAGTGAATACAGGAAAGAGTAAGGTTATGAGGATAACAAAAATATTAGGTGATGAAAGATTGGATATCAGATTGGAGGGAGAGAGTATGGAGGAGGTGAATGTATTCAGATATTTGGGAGTGGACGTGTCAGCGGATGGGTCTATGAAGGAAGAGGTGAATCATAGAATTGATGAGGGGAAAAGGGTGAGTGGTGCACTTAGGAGTCTATGGAGACAAAGAACTTTGTCCTTGGAGGTAAAGAGGGGAATGTATGAGAGTATAGTTTTACCAACACTCTTATATATGGGTGTGAAGCATGGGTGATGAATGTTGCAGCGAGGAGAAGGCTGGAGGCAGTGGAGATGTCATGTCTGAGGGCAATGTGTGGTGTGAATATAATGCAGAGAATTCGTAGTTTGGAAGTCAGGAGGAGGTGCGGGATTACCAAAACTGTTGTCCAGAGGGCTGAGGAAGGGTTGTTGAGGTGGTTCGGACATGTAGAGAGAATGGAGCGAAACAGAATGACTTCAAGAGTGTATCAGTCTGTAGTGGAAGGAAGGCGGGGTAGGGGTCGGCCTAGGAAAGGTTGGAGGGAGGGGGTAAACGAGGTTTTGTGTGCGAGGGGCTTGGACTTCCAGCAGGCGTGCGTGAGCGTGTTTGATAGGAGTGAATGGAGACAAATGGTTTTTAATACTGGACGTGCTGTTGGAGTGTGAGCAAAGTAACATTTATGAAGGGGTTCAGGGAAACCGGCAGGCCGGACTTGAGTCCTGGAGATGGGAAGTACAGTGCCTGCACTCTGAAGGAGGGGTGTTAATGTTGCAGTTTAAAAACTGTAGTGTAAAGCACCCTTCTGGCAAGACAGTGATGGAGTGAATGATGGTGAAAGGTTTTCTTTTTCGGGCCACCCTGCCTTGGTGGGAATCGGCCAGTGTGATAATAAAATAAAATATACATACATACTTAAATATACATGCTTAAATATACATTTTTTGTCATACAGAACACGTACGCTCTGAGAGTCCTGAAGATCATCGTCAACTTGTGTGAGCACGGCTACACCCACCAGCAGTTCCTGGAAGCCGCCAGAGTTGTGTGTACTCACAGCTCTTTCACGGGTATCATCTGAGATCCCTGCTGGAGAACCCACACCCACGCAGGAAACCCACACCCAAGCAGGGAACCCACACCCACGCAGGGAACCCACACCCAAGCAGGGAACCCCACACTCCCGCAAGGAACCCACACCCACGCAGGGAACCCACACCAAATTCTTGCTATATTTTAAAGGCATTAAAGAAGAAAATTTAGTAGTTAAGCCTGTGAAAGTTGCTTTTTATATATGCGGATGCGCTAAGTGCACCGCCATTGTTTTCAATAAATAAATTTAAAATAAGATTATTTATTATCCGCCTTTTGTTCTGATGTGAATTGCATTATGCTGTCTTTAGAATTTATACACCTGAGAAACGTGCATATATATATATATATATATATATATAATATAATATATATATATTATATATATATATATATATATATATATATATATATATCGTAAGGTTCTTGAATGGAGATATCGTAGGTTGAAAGCAGACACACTTGTAGGATGGTAAATGTATTGTCAGACTGAGATGAGAGATGGGGCCCGGTGCCTAGCCTGTTCACGCCTCTAAGGTCTGCCGCCGAGTGAGTACGGGACAGGGGGATCACTGCCCATGTGTATCCCCATGACGTCACACAAAGCCAAAGGCCTACGAGGGATCTCGTGTCTAAAGCACAGGATGATACTAATATGCTATGCTATATAATACTGGGAATACAGGGATCAGCAACTATGCTGACAGCTCGGTCATGTTACGTATGTCGTCCCGACATACACTACTATACTATAGGCTGAACAGGCAGGCGGATCTGGGCTGATTCTATACAATAACAAATTCATATATAACTTAGAACTAATGGATGGTACAACATGATTTTGACGTAATGGGTGTTAACGTAATCATTACAAACTATAAGAACAAATCATTATACAATATGGATGGAATTGATCGATCGATCTGTATTCATGCACTCTACGGATTCTGAGGAAGAATAATTTTATACAAAGAAGTGTTTAACAGAAAGGCAGATTCGGTGCACTCAAATCTAGACTGTTAATTCTCAGAATACGGAGGGAACGTGAACACGAAAATTTCTGACAAACTGATCAGCTAATAATAAAACACACAGTTGACAAATTCATTCATCTCGGACATCTAATTATGCAGGCTGTTTACACTTAAACCCAATTCTGCGAGGGTAAGGTTTACGTATGCAGAATGGTTATCATCTCTGGGAGGATTGAATTCCTCTGCAATGGCTAACACATGCCTTGACTGAGAGAGATCTGAACGAGTATCTACAAAAGATACAACTACAATCACTAGTGACTGTGGAATTACTAACTCGTCTGCTAGGAGTACTCAACTCGACTATTCGATACAGTAATTCTTGGCTCATTACAAAGTCACTAATGGGTACTGGTGGCTTCACAGTAAGAATAAGCTCTTCCTGGAGCAGGAATCGAATCACACCAGAACACAAGGGATCTATTCTTTGGGCATTTTTGACATCCTCGACAGTAAATGGAGGATCTGCAGTAACTACACTAACGTGTCGCGATAAAGTATCAGCGACTACATTCAACTTGCCAGGTAAATTTTCAAAAGTGAGATTGAACTCTTGGATAGTCAAGGTCCATCTGGCTAACCTTCCAGTAGGCTGTTTGTTCTGGAATAAAGGTAACAGTTCTTCCTTACTGGAGGAAAGAACAAACTCGGTGGAGTGGATGACTCCCCCCGGTTGAAAAAAATTAACGCTATAACACGCAATATGGAGCAAGGAGAACGAATCTACTATCTCAACTGCAAGCACAGGAGAAAAGAAATGAATACGGTGAACAATGCTGATATTCAATCTGAGTTGCACACAGTGACACGAGGTATCAGCTATAAAGAAACTACACTTACAAACGTTAACATGTGAAAGTTACTCGAGAAATAACTTCTTACAATGCACTGATTACTGTCAACTAGGATGGGATCACCATCTGGAACATTAGGAACAACAACAGACACTCTGGTGAGAACACTAGCTGTAACAGAGACGTCTTTCTGCAAACGGCATGTGACATCAACAAGAGATGGCATTACTAGTTCCAAGTAATCGTTTTCTGACAAGGCATCCCTGTGGAGAAACTAACTACTCGAACTAGCAGTCATTGCAGGGATAGGCTGTGCACTCAAGGCAGTCTGAGTGTCCCCCCGGACACTTGAGGCAACGGAACACTATCCTGCAAGTCTGAAGGTATAGGTGGAACACAGATGGGAATGACAGAATTACTAGTGCCTGACCGCTCGGCTACGTTAATAAGTAATTCACGGATCTATAGGAACTTAATCTGAACTTCACATTTCGCAGCACTTTAACAAATCTCAGATACAAGCTGTGAGAACAAACACATTGCTCAAGGCTAGGTATTGTCTTTCAGTCAGTAAGGGAATGTTGGTACTGTGGACTGATTCATATGACTTTGACTGGAATGATACACTAAGTGAACGTTCAAAAGTGACTGGGACATCTTCTCAGTGAAAATACTGAAGGGCATAAGTCAAGAAAAATGGAGAGAATGACACAATAAGCTTAAATGGAAAAAAATGCTTAACTATTCTGCATAAGTAATTAAAAATTGACAAGTTACACAGTAAGCAAAGAACTCACACAAGAATAATATGCAACTTAACAAACACTGAAAATCAAGAGAACTTGTACTTGCTCAAATCTAATATGCTCAACTTTTACTTTAAATTGAATAAATGGCACAGTGAGTTGTCTTTACTTTCAATGCAACAAGGAAAATACACAATAAAATAATAAAATGGACTCAATAAACTTGTGCAAAAATTAAAACAAACACACAATTCACTGAAATTAAAAAAATAAAATGACACAGACAGAATAAAATACTATGCACAGAACAGAACATAAGAAACTGCACTGTAATAAACTGTATTGCACAACACTGCATAAAATTGTCTGCAAGAAAAACTTTAATAGCAACACAATATTTGCACAAGAATTATTGCAAAATGAGTCTATGTGCAATAATAAAAATTATAACACACAAGAAAAGAAATATATCAAGGAATGAACACTTTAACTCTTAACTGCACTTAAACAACAAGCAAAAGAACAATTTACTTTAAAAGGAGAACTTAAAAATTACACTAAGAGTGAATTTGTTCAATAAAATATGAAAAAAAATTAATAGGTGCAAAAAACACGCAACAAAAAGGAACACAACACTTACAGTGATGCAGAACACAACACATCAACATAAACACAGTACTAGAATTTTCTTGCAATGAAACTTGATGTGTGAAAAATTTTGTAAAAGAGAGTTCGTGCTGGTACTTTAAAAATGGCACTATTGTCTGTGGAAATAAGACAAATTAAACACTGGCTGAATAAAGGAATATGAACACAAGAATGTTCAACACACAGGGAACAAAAATAAAATTACACAAATGCTGGGAAGAAAAAAAATAACAGACAACACTGAGTTGTGATGCAGAATATGAGGTGAAAAATTTACTGAGTTAATTCACTGGAATTCTGAAGTTTAAACACAAGTTCTATATTGCTCATATGTTGCACACACAACAAAGGAAACACTAAGTACTTACTTCAGTGTATAAAAGATACACAACACAACAGATATAAAATAATGCACGAAAATTAACACTGAATTAAGGAGATAAAAAGAAATTTATGCAATCAGTACATGATAAACACTGAGTCTGATCAAGAGTCACTGAATGTCACTAAGAAAAAAATTCACTGGGAACACAAAAGAAATGTCTCAACACTCGCAAATGTCTCAAAAAAAAATATTATCGCTGTAACAACTTGAAGAATGAGACTGATAGGTTGTTTATATCGTCCTGCTGCTGTCCTCTGCAAGATGATCGTAGAATTGCGCTTAAATCGGCGAGAGACAACACATAGGAGGCTTTTAAAGATGGCGCGACACTCTCTAGCTCTTGACCCCCTATGTGGTCCTTAAAATATGGTGCTACAACCCTTAGCAGTGCACAAAAACACTGATGAGGTAGGTGAGTTGTAATGGCCGACTGTAGTTGGGTTTGTGGGTAATGGCTGAGCGAGGCGTCTGAGACCGGCAATGGTGCGACACACGTGATCGTGAGTGGTTGGGCTTATGGGTTGAACGTCGTAAGCCTCACTGAGAAAACCCACACTGCCGCGAAGATAATTCTAAGCCAACTGGCTTAAAAGAAACCCACGAAATACTACAAACACACAAGGATGACAAGGAGCACTCAGAATGCTTGGAGCTTGAATCACAAGCGATGAGACTACTCATGTGGCTTGCTTGAGTACTGGGGTAAGACACCTGGGTTAGTTGCTAGCTGCTTATCTTAACCCTTCACACAGAATAGCTTGATAACTTCACACGATGAGCACAGCAGGGTGGAAGCTGGCTTGGCAGGCAAAATAATTGGATGGAGTAGGCTAGGCTGGACTGGGCTCGGGTGTACTGACTCCCCCACCACAGACTGGAAACTGGCTTATTTTGCAAACTCGGGTCAACCCCTCGGGAGTAATGCAAAAGCAGATAACCACTAATACAAAGAGACTGACCAGTGAATAATGTAGAAGCTGGTAGAGTAGCTGGTTTGAGGTAGCTGGATGGGGTGAACCTCGGTAGGCCTACTGGTAACACGAAATGGCCGTCTTGCTGGTCGACAACTTTATCTCCAGAAATCGCTGTAATCGTCAGAATTACAGGCCCTCCGCTGCCACCATTTATCGTAAGGGTTCTTGAATGGAGATATCGTAGGTTGAAAGCAGACACACTTGTAGGATGGTAAATGTATTGTCAGACTGAGATGAGAGATGGGGCCCGGTGCCTAGCCTGTTCACGCCTCTAAGGTCTGCCGCCGAGTGAGTACGGGACAGGGGGATCACTGCCCATGTGTATCCCCATGACGTCACACAAAGCCAAAGGCCTACGAGGGATCTCGTGTCTAAAGCACAGGGATGATACTAATATGCTATGCTATATAATACTGGGAATACAGGGATCAGCAACTATGCTGACATATATATATATATATATATATATATATATATATATATATATATATATATATATATATATATATATATATATATAATATATATATAAATATATAAATATATATATATATATATATATATAAATATATATATATATATATATATATATATATATATATATATATTATATATATATATATATATATATATATATATATATGAGGTGCGGATTACCAAAACTGTTGTCCAGAG